GCTCCACGCCAGAGCTCCAGCCACACAGAGCTGGGGGCTAGCTAACCTACTGTTGCACCCTCTCTCAAAGCCCCCAGGGAGGCCAGGCTTCTTCCGGCTCCCTTCAACTTCCTGGGAGGCTCTGAGTTAGACACTCAGTCCTTGGGAATCTGGCCCCCTCACCTTGGTGCAGACAAACGAAAACACCAGCTCTGAACCCCCTCAGCTGTCACCTGCTGGGGACCTGGTTTCTATCACCTGTCACCTGCGGGAGTCATGTGAGGTCATGCTGTAAATGCGACCCCGGCTGCTGCCCCGCTGTTCCAGGGTGGACACCTCAGCTGGAAGACTCAGGCCAGGCAGGGCATGTGTGGGGCACAGGGGGGTCATGGCGGGACCACGTGGGTTGCCAGGAATAAACAGCACAAAGAAGACACAAACATGCGGCAAGTTGGAGAGGGTGTGGAGCAGCCTCACGCAGGGACGCAGCTGACGTCACAGGCCACCTCCCTCCTCCGTGGACAGGTGGGGCTGCTGGCTCCAGGGCTGGACCTGAGACCGGCAGCCACGCCTCCCAGGAAGTCCACACACGGAGCCTGGCCAGCATGTAGCGGGAGGCCTCCAGAGCCACCCAGTGACCACTGCTGGTCCGAGCCCACCCTGGAATCACAGTGAAGATGGCTGAGCTGGCACCCATCACAAACCTGCTGCACTCAATTAGTCCTTGGGCGGCAGGTGTCAGAGCTCAGAGGAGCGCCCCAAGAGGGTCTCAGCTGTAACACACTCCTGTGTCCTGCACCAAGGACAAACCCGTCCTGGGCTGGGCAGGCCTTCGGGGCGGTGGGCCCTGCAGTCCCAGAGTGCCCCTCCCCCACTCCCTCTGCCTTCCCCCCCACCCCTGCCTGCCGCAGCCCGAGTGCTGGTCCCACTTGCTGGTGTTGAAGGGGGTGGGAGAGCCCTCCACCAGCTCAGCCTCTCTTGAGGTGGTCCACTACAAAAGGCCCCCCCAGATGGGAAGTGAGCAGGGGGTTGGGGGGCAGCTTCTGGAAGTCTCTAGCCTCCACCAGACCCACCAAACCTGATTCTCGTGCTCCCAAGACTTCATTCACTCACCCCGACCCTGGGCAGTGTGGGCACGTGGTGGGCTCGGTGCACGATGTGAGTGTGGGAGGAGGGACAGATCAATGAGGGGTCCACAGCACACGTGGAGCAGGCAAGGGCTTGGGAAGCATCTCTGTGGGGGGGCGTTTAACTCCCAAGGGGGACTGAAGCACCCAGCCGCACCCTCCCCCCCACTGCTCCCCTCCCTTGCACTAGGGCCACCATGAAGGTCCAAGTGCCATGGCGGAGTCACCACAGTGGACCCCACTGAAGTGGGAGAACACGGCTCTTGTGGGGGAGACCAGAGGGTCTGCCAAGAACCCATGGGTGACCGGCACACGAGGAGAAGCCCCTCCCCTCGGCCCGGATGCTCCTTCAGGCTGCCCCTGCAAGGAAGCAAGGTTGACATTCCTCTGCCCACCCTGGCCATCTTGGGTAACCCTAACCCACTGGCTCGGTCCGCCCTCCTGGGCCCAGGCTGCCCTGCAGGGCCTAAGGGCCCGGGCAGCTCTGTGCCCGGCGGTCAGGAGAGGGCGCCCGAGGGAGGCCGCGCGCAGGACCGCAGGGCCAAGTCACGTGGGAGCCCAGGAAAGGCCAGGCGCGTGCACCGGCCCCCAACTTCTTTGGGCCCTTCCGGAACCGTCCTCGTGTCTTCTTCAGAGGCGGCCGCAAGTGGCGTTCTGTCCCCCAACCCTCCGTTCCAGCTCGGAGTGGGGCGGGGGCTCCTCCGGGCTGCAGGGTCCTGGGAACCCCATCTCTACCCTGCACCTCCAGGGCCCGACGGCGCGGCAGCGAGGCCCTGAGCAGCCCTCTGTCTGGACCCCCTTGTGGCCCCCTCGTCCTGTCTCAGGCGGTGTGACACCATGGCCTTGGTCGAGGGCTGCCTGCGGGCAGGCCCGGGAGTGAGGGGTGCTGGAGGGACCCCCGCCCAAGGGGTGCGTTCTGGTCCCCCGAGCGCGGAGCACGCACCAGAGACACGCGAGCCGACACAGCTCCTACGGAGATTTGGGGGTTTCCGGGGGCTGAGCCCCGCCTGCTTCCCCGGGACCCCCGTCCGGGACAGTCCCTCACCGGCCTCCGCCCACCGTGGTCCTGTTCAGTCCCCTGGCGCTGACCCGCTTCCTGTTTGTACATTTGCTTGCCACCTCCTCAGGGCGAGCTGGGGACTCAGCCCTCCACAGTTCTGCCCCGGGACCGCCGGGCGCTAGGGCGCACAGCAGGATGCAGGGTCGCATCCCGTCTGCCCGCTGTCGCCATCCTCAACTGTGGCACTTTTCCTGGAAGGCCAGGAGGTGGCATTCGCGAATTTCCATCCCGGGAGACCGCAGGCGACTCCGCGGGCCGTCTGGTCCCGGGTAAGCAGCGAGAGCCCTGATTCCGCCCGAGGGAGGCGGCGGGGCGGCGGGGCGGCGGGATGGAGCCAGGTAGGGACCCGTAGCGGCACCGGCCGGAAGAAGCTCAAGTTAACGTCGCGCGGCCTGAGACACTGGGGAGCACCCCGCAGCGTCCGGAGCGTGGGCAGCGACCGAGGCCGCGGGACCTGTGGCCCGAAACGGATGGAAAAAGAGCTCCCTCCTAGCACCACTCACCCTGGCACCTCGCCAGCGCCCCGAACTCACCCCGCTGCCATCCGCACCTCCCACCCCGCAATCCTGGCCCCTCAACTCACCCCAACTTACATCTGGAGAGTTGCGCGCGCTGCAGCCAGTGGACACCGCCTCCGTGCGTCCCAGATTCAGCCCGGGGTGGCCAGGTGGCGCAGACCAAGGCAGGTCTCCGGGGCGCAGGGCCGGAAAACAGGGTTCAGGGCTCATGCAGCCGGGGTCGCAGGACTCTGCGGAAGGCCAACGCACACCCCAGTCCCTCCTGGGAGCGGAGGCTCCGCTCCCCGCGCCCCACACCCCACCCTGGCTCGCCCCAGAGGACAGTCAGGACGCAGCCAACCCGGGTAGGCTCAGCAGCTTAAGGGCCAAGAGCTGCCGGGGGATCGGGTCCCGCCCCGACC